CCTTCCTTCCGAGGAGTGGCTGGTGGGTTTGAACCGCCAGCCTTCTGGTTAGCAGTCAAGTGCCTTAGCCACTATGCTACCAGAGCTCCCCTAAGAATGATTAGAAGGAGGGAAATGAGATGCCCTTCACCTATAAACAAGTGCTTAACCGAATTAATAAAGACAAATTAGACTCTGGGTGAAACTATGTCTCTCAAAAACCTTATACTTAAACTCAGCTCATACTATAGCCCAGTATTGAGCACTTGTGAACTCTCTTTTAACAAGTAAAAAGAAAGCGCTAAGCCTGCTTCTTTCTAAAAGGAAAAAAAAAAAAAAAAACAAGTGGAGAATGGGTTGAGCAGTGGGTAGTCTGTAGTGAAATGGAAGTCACTCATTTTGTTTATTTCAGAACTTCAACAATACCTCTCAACTTCAGGTGCCTCACCTCCTGTCCTCAGTCCACGATTCTTTTTGAGTAGTGCATACAGTTGGATACATTTCACTCTACCTGGGGAAGTAAAATCCTCTAAATGTGGAAATAGAGTTTTCAAGTTGTTTCGCCAAGAGAGAAAACAAAAGAAATGAAAAGCAAAAAGGGTAAGAGAAAGGAAAATAAGGACAGAAGAGGAGAAGAAAGGAAAGGAAAACAAAAACAAACCGCGTGGAGGTCCAGACCAGGAATTTAGCGCGCGAGTCTCTGTTCTGCAGGGTGAGTGCGATCTTCGCTCTCCACGAAGGTCTCCAGTCCCTATCGTCCAAACCGCGTCAACGTAACCCAAGTGGCAGCCCGCAGCCCACTTTTTCTTGTTGTCCTATTTCACTGACCTGCATAGAAAACGATCAGGATCAACTTCAAAAAGAAGATGAGTGGACGCCGGGGCAGCCTCGGTGCGTCCATCCAAGCCGGTGGCCGGAGTTGCGCGCGCGGACAGACAGAAGGACGCAATGAAGACAAGGCAGGGATCAGATAGAGAGCCCGGAAACCGGAGAGGATGGAGAGGATTAGAGGCGGTCAGACAGAGAGAGCAACGTTCCCTAGAGAGGAGTGAAACCAAGACAGGTCCATTGCTCAGGGGGCCTTCGAAGAGACCCTGGACTGCGGGTCGGTTGCTCCGCGGACCCAGGGACGCGCCCCGGCCCAGACTGGGCTGCGCTGGGAGCCGAGGTCCCTTTGTCTCTCCCCACCGCGCTCTGGAGTCCTTGACCACCGGGCTCACATTTCGTCTCCGTGGGTGGCACCGACAAGGGACTGGCGGCGGGAGCCCAGACTCCTCCCTGCGTTTCTATTCTTCTTTCTAAAAGAGTGACTTTCTTAGTGGAACTTTTTCTAACCCTCTGCTTTGGTTTTTGCTGTGGGGTTTAGCCAGCTGCTTTTTCCGCCCTACACATCACTCCAATTTTTCTTTTTAAGCCATGGTTGAAGAACTTTGCTTTTTTAGCTTTAAACAAGTGGAAGGAATTTTCAGGGCTGCAGTTACTGGACAAAGGCAACCAGTGAAGAAAACCCAGGAGAATTTTGAAGTACAGAAACAGTTTATGGTATCTTTATTGAAAGCCAATAAAATGGTTATTTGTTAATTTCCTGAAACACCCCCCCACACACACACACACACACTAAAGTCAGGGTTAAAAAGAATGGCCAATATCATCACTATTGTTTGGCAGTGTTCTGGGATTACTGGCCATTGCCATTGGATATGAGAATGAAATAGAATTATAAAACTTGGAAGCAAAATTACCCTTTGCAAATGATATTCTTGTATAATTAGAAAATTAAAGAGAATCAATTATAAAGCTCTAAACTAGACTTAAGTGGTTGGGCATAAGTCATATACAAATAAAATCTATATTTCTTTTGCAGAGCAGATGTTTTTAATTTGAATGAGATCCAGTTTGTTGTGTTTCTTCTATGGATCATATGTTTGGTATAATATCTGAAAACTCATTGCCAAACCAAGGATCACCTGGATTTTCTCCTATGATATCTACTAGAAGTTGTATGATTTTGCATTTAACATATAAGTCTGTGAACCATTTTGAATTAACTTCTGTGAAAATTGTAGACTGTGTCTAGATTGTTTGTTTAGTTGTTTGTTAGTTGTTTTTTTTTTTTTTTGCACATGGAGGTTCAGTTGTTCCACTACTATTTGTTGAATTGCCTTTGCTTCTTTGTCAAAGTTCAGTTGACTTTATTTGTGTGGGTCTTGCCTGGGCTCTTTATTCTGCTTCCATTAATCTATTTGTGCATTTTTTCTCCAGTACCACACTGTGTTGATCAGTGTACTTTCTTAAAAATTTTAAAGTTGAGATATGTCAGTCCTCTCACTTTGTTCTTCTGTAGTATTGTGTTCGCTGTTCTGGTGAAAGAACAGTGAAAGGCACTATTAAGAGGATGAAAAGACTCAAAGAGATCACCATCACAAAGCAAGGTGATCCAACACAATGTGAAAATTATTAAACAGTACCATTATCATTACACACAAATAAATTTTGCTGAAAATAATTTTTAAATGTTTGCAACAACTCATTGGACAGGAACTGACAGATATCAAAGTCAGAAAGATACAGAAGGGAACATATAACAAGAAATATCATTGCCGATGTCATATGGACCCTGGATGAAAGAAAAGAATACCAGCAATATGCTCACCTGTGTTTTATTGACTATGCAGAGGCATTTGATCATGTGGATCATAACAAATTATGGATAGCATTGCAAAGAATTGGAATTCTAGAATGCTTAATTGTACTCATGAGGAAACTATACATAGACCAATAAGTAGTCATTTCAACAGAACAAGGGGACACCACATGGTTTAAAATCAGGTAAGGTGTGTGTCAGGGTTGTATCCTTTCACCATACTTATTTATTCTGTATAATGAGCAAATAATCTGAGATGCGAGACTATAAGAAGAAGAACAAGGTACCAGGATTGGAGTGAGACTCATTAACAGCCTGTGATATGCAAATGATACAACTTTGCTTGCTTAATGAAGAGGTTTTGAAGCACTTACTGATGAAGAAAGTGCTTACTATGAAGCACTTACTGTGGCTGCAACAATGGGCTGAAGCATAGCAAAAATTTATATCCACATCCTTCAGTATGACTTACACTTCAACATAAAGAAAGTAAAATTTCTCACAACTGGACCAATAAGCAAAATTGCAATAAGTGGAGAAAAGGTTGAAGTTGTTAAGGATTTCATTTTACTTGGATCCACAATCAATGCCCCTGGAAGCATCAATCAAGAAATCAAACGTATTGTATTAGGCATATCTGTTGCACAAGAGCTCTTTACAGTGTTAAGAACAAAGATGTCTTTGAGGATTAAGATACACCTGACCCAAGCTATAGTATTTTCAATCACCTCATATACATGTGAAAGCTGGGAAATGAATAAGGAAGGCTGAAAAAGAATTAATGCATTTGAATTATGGTTATGACAAAGAATATTCAATATACCATGGACTTCCTGAAGAACAAACAAATCTGTCTTGGAAGAAGTACAGCCAGAATGCTCCTTAGAAGTGAGGATGGTGAGATTTCTTCTTTCTTACTTTGGTTGTATTATCAGGAGGCACCAGTCCCTGGAGAGGGATATCATGCTTGTAAAAGTAGAGGGTCTTCATAAAAGAAGAAGACCTTCAACCAGATGGTTTGGTACAGTGGCTGCAACAACGGACTCAAGAACAACAACAGTCATGAGTATGACACAGGAGTGGGCAGCGTTTCCTTCTGTTGTGCATAGGCTTGTTATGAGTCAGAAATGACTCGATGACACCTAACAGCATTTCTGAGCTCTTTATTCTGCCCCATTTAGCTATTTGTTTGTCCATTCTCTGATACCACACTGTCTTAATCAACGTAGCATTCTAGCAAATTTTAAACGGGGTTATTGTCAGTCGTCTGATTTTGTTCTTCATTTTTGTGTTGGCTGTTCTGGTGAAAGAATAGTGAAAGACATTAAGAGGATGAAAAGACAAATCACAGACCAGGGGGGAATATTTGTAAGATACATATCTGATCAAAGTCTTGTGTCCAAGTTATATAAAGAATTCTTAAAACTCAACAACAACAACAAAAAAAACTAATTAAAAAGTGGCTAAAGATCTGAACAGAAACCTCATTAAAAAAGATATACAAATGGCAAATAAGTATATGAAAAGGTGTTCAAAATCATGTCATCCTAAAAAAATAAGCTCATTGTCATCCAGTCAGTTCTGACTCATAGTGACTCCCATTGGGTTTCCAAGGCTGTAAATCTTTATGGAAGTAGATTGTCTCATCTTCCTCCCACAGAGGAGCTGGTGGGTTTGAAATACTGACCTTTTGATCAGCAGCCAAATGCCTTACTCACTATGGAACCAGAGTTCTGGGGACTGCAAATTAAAATGAGATACCACTACACACCTACTGCTGCAGTTGGTGCCATTGACTCTATTCCAACTCATAGTGATCCAATGTACAACAGAATGAAACACTGCCCAGTTGTGGACCATTCTCATAGTCTTTGCTATACTTGAGACCATCATTGCAACCACTGTGGCAATCCATCTTGTTGAGGGTCTTCCCCTTTTTTGCTGACCCTCCACTTTACCAATCATGATATTCTTCTCCAGGGAATGACCAAAGTAAGTGAAATGAAGTCTGGTCATTCTTGCTTCCAAGGTGCATTCTGCTTCACTTCTTCCAGGACAGATTTGTCCATTCTTCTAGTAGGCAATGGTTCTTTCAGTATTCTTGGCCAACACTACAAATTGAAAAGCATCAACTCTTTTTCGATGGTCTTCCTTATTCATTGTCCAGCTTTCACATGCATAGGAGACTATTGTAAATACCATGGCTTGGGTTAGGCTCACCAGTCTTCAAAGTGACATCCTTGCTCTTCAACATGTTAAAGAGGTCTTTTGCAGCAGATTTTCCTAGTGCAATATATGACATCTGATTTCTTGACAGCTGCTTCCATGCATATTGATTGTGGATTCAAGTAATATGAAATTTTTGACAACTTCAACATTTTTTTCCATTTATCATGATGCTGCTTATTGGTCCAGCTCTGAGGACTTTTGTTTTCTTCATGTTGAAGTGCAATCCATACTGCAGACTACAGTCTTTAATCTTCATTAATAAGTGCTTCAAGTCATCTTCACTTTCAGCAAGCAAGGTTGTGTCATCTTCATATAAAACCAAACCTAACTCATTGCCACTGAGTCGGATCTGACTCATGCCGACCCCTCCTTGAGTTTCAGAGGCAGTATCTTAATGGAAGTAGATTGCCCAATCTTCCTTCTGAGGAGTGGCTGATGGGTTTGAACCACCATGCTTCTGGTTAGCAGTCAAGTGCCTTAGGCACTTCACCACAGGTTGTTAATGAGTTGTCCACCAGTTCTGATGCTGCATACTTCTTCATACAGTCCAATTTCCTGGATGATTTGCACAGCACACAGATTGAATAATTATGGTGAAAGAATACAATCCTGAAACACACCTTTCCTGATTTAAAACCATGCAGTATCCCCTTGTTCTGTTCAAATGGCAGACTCCTGGTCTATGTACAGGTCATCATGGGCACAATTAAGTGTTCTTAATTTGTTATAATTCACACAGTCAAATACTTTTGCATATTCAATAAAACATAAGTAAAACACACTTATTTGAATGGCTATAGTACAAAATATTGACATCCAAATGCTATGAGGGTATGAAGCAACAGGACACCGATTTGTTGGTGGTAGGAATGAAAACTAGTAAAGCCATTTTGGCAGATAGGCTTGCAGTTTCTTACAAAGCTAAAGATGGTTTAACATATAATTCAGCCATCATGCTCCAAGATATTTACCCAAATGAGTTGAAAATTTATTTACACACAAATATCTGCACATGAATGTTTATAGAAGCTTTATAACTG